TTGGAGTGTTCTCGCAAGCCCTCCAAATTCTCCTCACAGAACTCCGTCCCTGAACCGTGCTCTGACAGTGGACTGAGCCCCAAGCTGAACAAAGTTCAGACACACAAGCTCACGTGAGCTCGCTCTCTCTGCTCTCGGCCGTGGGTGTGACTCCCGACTTCAAGCTTTGCCACTGTGCGTTCCTTGCTACAATGGTCTCTGTGTGTGAGCTGAACCAAGCCTTTTCCTCCCCTAAGTAGCGTTTGTCGGGTATTTTGTTACAGCAATAAGAACAAAACTGGTGTGTGCGGTGTGAGAGGGCAATCTGCATGTGGTAATGAGGCTTGGACTCTCTGAATAGCCCAAAAGCATACCAACCCTCAAAGTACCGGACTCTGTGAGCAAATCTTGGAGTCCAAAATTGATTTGGACTCTAATCGCATGCAGAAATGTGTGTGGCTTTTAAAAGGTGCAAGGAAAGTTTCGACGCTGCCTGCTTTTTTTCTGATGTCCCGTTGTTACTCTTTAAGATGTCATCATCTATTGCTTCCGTTGTCATGTGCCCTCCAGGCTTATTATAGTCTTTATTTTCCATAAAGGTTCCTTCCCTTCTCTTTTAAAAATTTGGAAGTGGACACACTTTGAATTTCATAGACACAAGAAAATGAATTATCTTCTCACAAGCTGTTCTAAAACACAGAGTGCAAGTGAGCACGGGAGTAGGACTCCTAACATATGGGTAGCTTGGCATGAAGGGAAATGCAACCTTATTCCTGCAGGGAAGATGGTGAGCTAGAGAGTTCACATAAGCTGTAAGCATAGGTCCTTTATCCCGCCCTAGAGCACGGTCCTTCTATCAGTAGAATCACAGGGAGAGGAGGCAGAGATGTGCGTGAAAGTCATTGGCATATGCATTCAGCCAGGGCTGCCCACCACAGGCAGCTGGAATGCACTGCTTCCCCTCCACCATCTGGACTCCAGACGTGACCACTAAACTATGAGGAAGTCCTGCTGGAAATTGCCTTTCAGGTCCAGATGGCGCTGAGACACCAGTCTAGGAAAGCAGACCATGCTGAGGACAGAGTCCTTGGGCTGTATCTCATGAGGGCTCATCATTAACTCCACCTCAGTCCACCGAGGAGTCTACTCTTCGCTCTGCTGCACGAGGGCTGGCAGGCAGTTGTCTGGCTCTTATTGTTCAATGTTGCAAGCCCGAGGAAGATGTACTGTCAAAACACGTCCCTCATGCTTTAACATAGCTCATGCAGAACTTCGCAGAAGGAAAATTTAAAAGGCTAAAATCATTTCCACTGGAGTGGAAGTGATGCTGTGATGGTAGGTCCCACACACACTTCATTATAGCTGAAGCCTCTTATACAAAAGGCATTTGTGTCATGAGAAACCTCAGGCAAGCCAGACCTGCAGGGCTGAATTGTACAAAGTCGAGTCCTGGCACCTGCTGAGGAGTCCCAGGAGCTGAGACAGAGCAGGGGACATCTCCCAGGCATGACCCTGGGAGGGGCTCATTTCTGTCATTAGCAAGGCCCCCTTTAGAAGCACTCGGAGGCAGGTAGCATTCTAGAGCAATTCCTAATGCCATTCAGCCAATACTCACAGCATCAAATGTGCCCAAGCCAACTAAATAGAAGAAATGTCTCGAACCAGCAACACAGATTCATGCAGGATTCAGCTTCATGGCCAGCCATTCATGCCAAGTACACAGCAAGGCGTTGTGAATTCTTGTGAAAAAAGTCTGAGATACTGTACTGGCCAGTTTTATGTCAACTTGATACAGCTTGAGCATCAGAGAGAAGGGAGCCTCAATTGAGAAAAAGCCTCCATAATATCCAGCTGTAGGCAAGCTTGTAGGGCATTTTCTTAATTAGTGATTGATGTAGGAGGGTCAACTCATGGGTTTTGCCACCTCTGGGCAGGTGGTCCTGGGTTCTATAAGAACCCAAGCTGAGCAAACCATGAGGAGCCAGCCAGTCAGCAGCTCCCTCCATGACCTCTGCATCAGCTCCTGCTTCCAGGTTCCTGCCCTGCTTGAGTTCCTGTCCTGACTTCCTTTGATGGTGAAAGTGATGAGGCAGTGTAAGCTGAACGAACCCTTTCCTCCCCAAGTTGCTTTGCTCATGGTGTTTTATTCACAGCAATAGTGACCCTAACTGAGACCAAAGCTAAAGGAAAAATCTTAAATTTAGCCCAGTGCCATGCGTGTTGGTTCTGCCATTCAGAATGTTTCCCACCACTGCTGACTCAGCCAGGTTCTGGTACCCCATAGCATTCTCGAAAAGAATAGTTACATCACTTGAAAGTCAGGAACCTCAAGTGTGTAGGCTAAATACCTTCCCATAATCTGACCTTGGGAACAGATAATTTTAGTATTCAGGCATCTGTCCTGGACTGCCCTTGGGGTCCTGACAGGATACTGAGAACACCACCTGTGCACATTCACTACATTCCCTTTTAAAAGGGCCCTGCCACCTCCGATACCTCCCTCTCTCTCTCTCTCTCTCTCTCTCTCTCTCTCTCTCTCTCTCTCTCTCTCTCTCTGTCTGTCTCTGTCTCTCTCTCTCTGTCTCTCTCTCTGTCTCTGTCTCTCTCTCTGTCTCTGTCTCTGTCTCTGTCTCTCTCTCTGTCTCTCTGTCTCTCTCTCTCTCTGCCACTCCTGTCCCCAGAGGCCAGTCTCCCCTCTCGCTGCCCCACTTTTCTCATTCACTTCACACACACACACACACACACACACACACACGCATGCACGCACGCACGCGCACACACACACACACACACACACACACACACACACACACCTTCCTTGTAAGCTCCATCCCATGGTGTCTTTCTCTCTTGTGCTGATTTTAAAAATTACAATGGATACCAGTTGCACAAACGCTCCAGAATCCAGATTGCAGATATAACCCCTCAGATGCTGAGAGCTGGCATGGATGGGGAGCCTCTGGACTCTGGCTCCTCTGTCTTGTGAACCTGAGGCTCTGGATCCTGAGCTGCAGAGCTCAATGCCTAAGTCTGAGGATGGAGACGGTGCTGGTTATTCTTGAGGAGTGTCTGAGTAACAACTGCCTCCTAGAGGGACTGATTGACAGCAGTTTGGACATTTGCCACTGTTGTGTACAAGTTACATGTGCAAATGCACTGTAAATAAAGGAGCAGCCATTCTTGAGGAAACAAAAGTATTGTGTCATTTGTGGTATATACATGTGTATATACAATGTTAGTGTGTGTGTATGTGTGTGAATGCATGTGTGATGTACCTGTGAGTGCATGCATATGTTGGTATGTGCATGTATGTATATGTTCACATATGTGTACATGTATGTACATATGAGTATTGTGCGAATGGGGGCATTGTGTTGTGCATATTCAAGCATATCTATATTTGAGTGTGTGTGTGAGTATATGTACCTCTGTGTGTGCATGGGTATGTTAGTATGCATACTTGTGAGATATGCATGTAGCCGTGTGTACACGAGTATGTAGGTATATATTAGAGAGTTGTGTGCATCCTTGGGGAGTGGGTGGGGGTGGGTTAGGGGAATCGGTGGGGAGCATGGGAGGATGGGAGGGTGAGGGAATGGGGGGATTGATACTTAAATAAGAGTGCTTCTAAAATAAAAAAAGAGAGTTGTGGGCTTGCTTGTGAGTGTGTAAACATGTGTGTCTGTGTGTATGTGTGAGAGTGTTGAATACTATAGATAAGGGAAATCTATACTGAAGTATTAAACCTTTAGCATGTTTAGGCATGTCCCCGAACCTTTGCAGACTAACGGTTATAGACTTAGAATACCAACACTATTTATCCTTCCAGTTTGCAGCCGGATTGGGATGGTTGGAATCTGAGCTCCACATGGTATTTCCAGATTGATCTGTCCTCTTCCTGTTGGCTTCCTGTTCTAGGGAAATCAGGAGAATTTTCTTCAGCATTGCTTTGCAGACCAGTATATATTATGTGGGAGATGGGTGTTGGCTTCTTAGTCCCCTGGCCAAGTATTGTGAATGCTGACTTATGTCCAGGTAGCCTGTGAGAAGTGGAGCGTAGTGTCTTTTAGAGGATTTATGGTAACGCTGCTGTGTGTGGCTGAAGTAAACTGGAGAGCCCTGAGGGTCTCTTCATTCCCTGACACACTTCACTGCCGCCCATTAACACCTCGGCTGTTATTGCCTTAGACTGGATTTAATGAGGCCTCTGAATTGGAGCTTAGCATCAGAAACAATGGCTTCAACAACCAGGCACCTAGCTCTCAAGCTCTCTCTCTCTCTCTCTCTCTCTCTCTCTCTCTCTCTCTCTCTCTCTCTCTCTGATGGTATTCTTTGAAATAATCTAGGTATTTAAAAAAGTCAGAACCAAGACAATATTACAGAAAGTTAATAAAATATATCCTAAATTTCTACTCATGGAGGTAATTTCTTTTGTTGTGCTAAAGATAAAGCATGGTGACATGTGGCAGTGTCCTGGGGCACCAGCAGACTATATTTTGTTAAGATTAAAAAAAAACTAGTTTCTGAGAAATTAACACAGAAAGTATTTTTCACCTCTTGCATGGTTTTCTAATTTTCAAAGTGGTGAGGAAGGGTAATAATTGGGCAGGTTGCTTGGAATTGGTCAAAGTGTCATGTGCATTTAGTTTTATCCCCAAACAGGGGCATGTCTTTAAAACTGGCAAATAGCTTAGATTTCAAAGTGAACCAACTAAGCCATTTTTACATGTATTTGTTTGTCTGTGGGGGTGGGGTTGCCGCAGTGCACCTGTAGAAGTCAGTTCTCTCCGGGGAATCTAACTCTGGCGTTCAGGCTTAGTGGTAAGTGCCTTTTACACACTGAGCCATCTCCCTGGACTTAAAAGTCCAAAAATGGTTTAAAGTCAAGGATTCTAGGGAAGCCATTCACACGCCTCCTTTGCCTGTGGGTGGCTGTCTTTAAACACAGCTGTTTTAAGAGTCAGTGTTTACCTTTGCCTCCTGTCACTGACTATGCCCTTTATTGTTATTCTGTTCCTTAGGAAATGAGCACCAGGACGAATTGGTGAAAATATCCAGCTGGCATTTCTGAGTCCTGTGGCAGGAGCCAACAGCACTGGTTCGAAGAGGACCCAGAAAGTGAACTCAGGTACCAAGTCCCTTTCCCAGTTGATGCTGTGGGTCACCCATCAAAGCCTATGGGGGAAGAAATCGCAGCACCCATAACCCAACGCGGCCATGTCACACTTACAGAGCATTCGCTGTTAAATTGGGTGGTGCGCTGTTACTCTTGATACTGAAGTTACCCATGGGTGACATGACAGGAGCCCACAGCACCCTGTAGGTGCTGTGAGGAGTCCTCGGGCCACAATGGTGAGAGGATGAGACTGCGCTTCCTTTAAAAAATCATTGCCAACGGGTTCCACACACAATCAGGAGAGGCCATGCTTTGAGTCCACAAATTCTTGTCTAGAGGGTCAGAGTGGGTGGCATGGCAGTGAGGGATGCTGCCGGGGGATCAGTGCCAGGTGTCAGAGCCTGAGGTGAGGGTGACCACAGTGTGACCCAGACCTCAGAATCGGTCAAGCGTCTGTCTCTAGCTTGCACACTATCCTTTCTTCAAAGCCGCTGGTACGCCCCTCCTGTGTGCATGTGTCTCCATTGGAGAAAAGAGAACGCCAGTTAATCGGCAGTTGTTCAGGATGCTGCTTGCAGGAAAACTCCAGTCTACATGTTCAGGTTCACAGTGCAATAGTAATTTGTTTGTCTGCCAACTACCCCATTTGCCTGTCTGGTAATGGAACACCATCCCACTCTGTGGAAATGGGAGGCTGTGATTGACTCCCATAAGCTACAGCCTGGTGGGACTGCTGTCTTTAAGAGCTTTGTGAACTGCTGTAATAGGTCACAGTCATTCCCATTATTTTCCCTCTTCCACCCCACTCATTTCCCCTGAAGAAACCCAGTGTGTTCATTGGTTCGGCTTAGGAAACGCATTAGACTTAATTGTACATTTCCTTGCAGTTAAAAGGGAGGGGCATAACAACGCAACCCTGTTCAGGTTGAGTATTAGCTCATACTTGGCTTTAAAAACAATCACATTTCTGCATTTTAGGTTTCATGCCTGTAAGCTTCCTGGTTCTGTCAGATCTCGTTGAGTTTTAGTGATGAGACAGCTTGGTGGGCCATTTTATATCAAAGTAATATTTTAATGAGTCTTTGTTGAATTGGAATTTTTAACATTGAATAAATGTTCCCATTTAAATGAAGATTATCAATGTAGTTACATTAAAAGTGTTCAATACAGGCCTCATCTGAAAGTAAACAAGGCATCAAAAATGAAGAGATAGCAGTGGGTTTCGAAAGAGGAATCCGTGGATGTGCTAGTGAACTTGGCCTTCTATAGGCTCTCAGCCAGGGCCATCTTTTTGATTCTGCAAGATAGATCTTAGGTAGGTAGAGAAAATTGGACCTGCTCAAATAAGAAAATGTCCCTGAGGTCCTTAATGCCTCCAATACTCCCTGCCTTGTTCTCACGACCTTCCTGTGACTTCATGTGACTAGTGAAGCAGGCCCTGGGTTAGCAGACTGTCCTGGGTGTGAGGGCTCCTGGTTTCCAGACCCAGCCAGAAGCATAAGAACCTGTATTTCACAAGGGTGATGTCATTCAGTCCTCAGGACCTGTGAACTGCTTCTCACGCTGACTTTGGTGGTAACTGAAGGTACAGGAGGAAGGTAGAACTTTCAAGAACTGGGTAACTGGGAGTGTGTGCTATGAAGATACCCAAAGAGTACAAGTGTGTGTTCAGCTTGTAGAGACTGTGTGTGCATGCACCATTTCCACTTTTATGCAAGTGTGTGTGTGTGTGTGTGTGTGTGTGTGTGTGTGGTGTTTCATGTGCTCCTCCTGAACAGTAAACATGATACTACAGGTGTATGCCCTTGTGGGGAGGGAAGAACCCAAGCCCGTCCTTTCCCTCTATCTTGTCCTGACAGTGGTGAATGGACTTTCTCTTCCCTTTGCTCCCATCATGACAAGCCACCTCACTATAGAGCCAAAGCCAAGGGCCAGTCAGTCACCAACTGACATCTCCAGACCTAACTAAGAAAACCTTTCTTCTTTATCAGTAGACACCTCTGGTGTTTGCTATTATGATGGAGACTATTAGGGGCTGTGCCTACAGAGTCTCTGAGGCCAGTAGTCACTGCCAAAGAAGAAAAAAGAACCACAGACAATACTAGACCAATCAGACAGGGCTGATGAAAACTCTATTTGCAAAATGATGACAAATGTGTCTGGACAGTAAGGATGGAATGTTAGAAATGCTAATAATTCTGTTAGTTTCTGAGGCAGGTGCCTCATGCTACCCTCCACAGTATAGTGTGTCGGGAGTGTGTCCATCACAAGCTCTTTCTTGTTGCAAGGCATGTCTGTCAGGACTCAGCATAAGCCAGTAGATGCTGCAAATTCCACAGTCTGTGGAGACCAAGTGGGCTCCGGGAAGCCTGCAAAATTTATAGAGAGGAGTTTCTAGTATTTCCATGGCAACACCATTCTCAGGCCACCTTGAGATCCCTGGTGTATGTCTCACTGCTGTGAAAATGACTGACAAAAGCAAGGAAGCTGTCTGTTTTGATCACAGTTCAGAGGAACACAGGCTATGCATGAAGAGGGAAGGCGTAAAGGAAGCAGTCACATCCGGTCTGTAGCCAGGAAGCAGAGAATAAAGGAATTCAGTTGGCTTTCTCCTTTTTCCTTGTTAGTCACACTGGGAGCCCGGTATAGTTTCTTCCACCATTAAACATCCCTGGAAACTTCCTCACAGATATGCCCAGGAGTGTGTCTCCTAGGTGACTCCAAATTGTCTCATGTTGACAATGAGAATTAACCCCCATACAAGTGAAGCCAGTCACTGTGATACTGGAACCCATGGAGGAGACTGACCACACGAACCACACACCACACACTGGAGTAAAGCACAGCATGGAAAAGCTAGCAATACCTGTGCAAGTGGCCCTGGGACAGTGCAGGAGCTGGGCTACTGTGCAAGGCAATATGAAGCCTTGATATAATACAGCTCACTCAGCCTGTTTTCCCAAATGCTAAGTAATGAGAAAACAAACAGAAAATACCAGACACAAAAGAGAGTTACTTCAAATTCTCATGTATCACAAGCTTCATAAAAGGGTTAATTTCAGGAAAGACTTTACGTGACACCCTAGACAATTTTCAAAGGCTGTTTTATTGAGAAAAATAATTTGAGGCACGGTTTTTCGTGGAAATGCAGATCACCAGCTGACTTTCCCACTGAGGGATCTGCAGGCAACACATCCTAGATTATTTCTGAACTCCATGCAGCGCCTGAGTAGGAGAAGCATCCTACGGGGCATAGGGCTGTCACTCTGCCACAGGAAGAAGGACCTTTCACACACAGGGTAGCATAACACCTTGCACACATTTGGGTAGCATATCCTAAGTCAGACCATGAACTGGCTTCTGCTTTTTACCTCATATAATTTGAGCCTCGGTTTCCCCCATGCACTAAAGGATAATAGTCGTTTATTGTTAACAAGCAGCCAAAAGTCTACTTACAGAACACACGGTTGATTCATGAAACACAGAATGTAGTAGTAGGCAGTCCTACTGTGTGCTGGGTTTGAGATGAGGCTGGATGGAGGAGAGCCAACGAGTCAGTCACCAGCTTATGTACAGAGCTTTTGGAAGGCTGTTAGTGAGGTGGACCTAGTTACCGCAGGTTGTCTCGGGAGAAATCTGCTTGTGAAGTGAGTAGCCCATACCAGGCCACACACAATGTCTTGCTACTGTTATCCCAGCATTCCCAGGACAAGGAGACCTATGCAGAGTTTGGAGCTCCTGCAGGGGGTTGGAGACGTGGCTTCTCTGTGGTCCAGCCTTTAGTCTGTGGCTGGCTCCTGATGCATTATGGATGGTTGATCTTGGCAATGAAGGAGCAGTTTTACAGTGAGACAGCAGCTACTATGAATTCCTCACCAAGAGGAGCTGGTAGGATGACTGCTAATAAATGCCACTCACGTGAATAGTGGGATGCAGATGCTCTGACTGTCTTTGTAGTAGATGTCTGTAGCTAAGGGTCAAAGGTCAAAAGAGTCATGCTTCCTCTGCAGTGCTTTCCTCGCTTGTCCCCGAGTTCTTAATTCTAATGAGGCACAGGGCACCCCTTAATGTGGGCTTGACTTTCCCTCCCTTACCTGGTTCCTCCTGGAACCATCATTGCTTCCTGAGCATGGCCTTGAGCACCTACACAGGACAGATCCTGAGATCTGTGCATGCTGACTCACTAACTGTAGACCCCCTATTTTTCAAGTTTCTTGACTCATTGCTTCTTGTGGCAGTACACGAAGAGAGGGAAGATTGTCCGTGACTGAATTAAAAAGATGGCTCTCGTCTTCTTTTACAATGAAACCTCCTCAGATAAGTTACTGCGAAAGTCTCTCTCTCACACACACAAATAAACGTATGTCATGCATTTGTTTGGTGTCTCGAGGCCAGCACTGCATACCAAATACTAGACAGGGAAATGGAACCAAAATTCTGCTGAAGAGCTGTTGATGTTGAATCTCTGAATGGGAGGGGGTATTTTAATGTTTAATTAAAAAGCTAACCACACCACGGAAGAGTGTCTAACGGTAGAGTGCAGAGCCCAAGCAGGAGAATGTGAATGTCTCCTCTGTCCAAATCCGGGGCATCCCCGTCTTCCAGTCGGGTGCTTTGGAATCAGGAATGTGAAGCAATCCTGGGGGAGTCAAGCAAAGGTGCTACCATGAGTTTAGACGTAGCTGTGTAACAGGGGTATTGTAGCTGAGCTACCGCATGAAAGACAGGGATGTGAGAGAACCCAAAAACAACTGGACAGAATCCAGGTTGACCAGCACTCTCAGCGAGGCCATTGAAGGTGTTATACAGATGGAGTTGTGAGCTGGGAAGACCTAGAACAAAAAAGTGTTCAGAGATCCCACCATCCTGCGAGTGGGAGGAGCTTATGCTCACCTCTCACCACATCGGTTTTGTGTTGAAATAGTGGGGAGGAACCGCACGCATCACAGGGCTGTTAGCATTCCACACAGCAGTGCCTGAAGCATGTAGCTCTGTGGCTGCACACAGCCCGG